ACGGCTTTCTCTCAGAGGTACTTGCAGCAATTACTGGGACACTGAGAGCCGGGGCCTCTTAGGGTAGGACTGAAGATCAGCCATAGCTGTTTGCTCCGCCCTGTTGATTCCCTGAGACCTCGCCCCACCCAAGCTGTGCACAGAGGCTTTTGGATATGAAAGGCCTGGCTCTTTGCAATCTGAAAAGTACCTAACAAACTGCAGCTGGGTCAGAGAGACCCAGAACTTCCAAAAGAAGGCCCAAAGCCCCACAGCAGCTTGCATTTCTTCACAGCTGGGCCTCATCTGGGCACCTCCAAACTCCAAACAAGGAAGGGGAATCTGCAGATCTCTTCGTAGCTCCTGCTGGGTAGACTCAGGTAGAGACTAGATTAGCACCTGCTTAGATCCAAGAGCCAGTGTACTCAGTGGTCAGAGGGGGACCATCCAATTATAACTCCACAGATCCATAAGGAACACGCTCAGGAGGCAGACTCAGTGAGCACCAAAGCCCCACTGAAGCAAGTCTTGCCCCATAAGGGTGTCTCCAGCACAGAAGTTCTCCCACTGTAGACACAGCTGATTCTCACAGCCAATTGGCCTGAGGTCAAATCTTCCCAGGTGCACCTACAACAATCAAGACTTAACTACAACAAGACTGTGCACAAAGCCCACAAGGGGGTGCACCAAGAGTGTCTACTTCAGGTAATTGGGGAGGCTGAGCCACCAGGCCCTAAAGGACACTTAGCACAGAAAGCCACTCTATCGACACAGTGAAGCATAAAAAATGCGGAGACAAAGAAACAGGACACAAATGACAGAAATGGAGGAAAGCAAACGACTGGATATAGAATTCAGAACCACACTATCAAGGTTTTTCAAGAACTTTCTAGAAACCGCCGATATATGTAGTGAGATCCTCAAGAAATCTAGTGAGACCCTTGATGTTGTGATAAAGGACCAACTAGAAATTAAGCATACACTGACTGAAATAAAGAATATTATACAGACTCCCAACAGCAGACCAGAGGATCGCAAGAATCAAGTCAAAGATTTGAAAGGCGAACAAGCAAAACATACCCAACTGGAAAAGCAAAATGAAAAAAGAA